CTACACCGTTACTAACATTATGAAAGCTAAACGTAAAATTGGTATGGGTTGTTGCAAAGCTAAAAAAGGTGGTAAATTAGTTGGAGCAGTAAGAAAAAGAATATCTCGAAGAAAGTCTAAAAAAGTTAGAAAAATTAAGGTACCAAATCAAAGGGGTTCTGCTATACCTTTGATACCAATATTTGCAGGACTTTCAGCCCTCGGTAGTCTTGCGTCTGGTGCAGCAAATATCTATAAAGCTGTTAAAGATTCTAAAACTGGACAAACGAAAAAAATTGGTAAAGGCTTATATTTGAATGTTCGTAATGGTAAAGGTTTATACTTAGACAAATCAGGTTTAGGTGTGAAGAAAAGAAGAAATATTAAGAAAAAAAAAACTAATTACTATGCTACCTAATAGACCTCTTTCCTCTCAAGACATTATAAAACATGTTGCACAATTAAAAATTCCACATTTCCGTGGTGTATTTTCACGTGACAGCTTACCAAAAACTATTTTTAAAAACGAATGTGCGGTTATTAACCTTGCTGGAATAAGTCAAAAAGGATCGCATTGGGTTGCTTACTTTAAAAAAAATAACAACATATGGTATTTTGATAGTTTTGGTAATTTACCACCACCAATTGAACTCCAAAATCGTTTTAAAGGGTACAATATTTTATATAATTACTCAAAATATCAAAATTATAATACATTTATTTGTGGTCATTTATGTATTGATTTTTTACAATGTATGAATCAACAACAATAAGTTTATCAGGTAACACTACAGAGTTATCAACAAATTTTTTTCCATCACTAACTATAGCTGAGGACTCAGAAATAGCATTATTAAATCTTCAGACATATAATTCTTTTCCTAATATTAATGAAAGCAATAATAAATTGAGAATAATTATAAAGAACAATACAATATTAAATAAACGCGATGTTTCTGTAAGCAGTAGTTCTTCACTAGAATCAGATAAGAATGCTATTGATCATAATCCAAGACATTTATCTAAATATTTCACGGAATCATATACGAGTAATATTAATAAATCTTCCGATTTTTTCTCAAAAAGTAATGAACACATTCTGAGTGAACAAACGGATAAAGAAATCTTAAAGCTTGAAATAGAACCAGGGTGTTATGAACTAAGTCAAATAAATGAATATATTAAAAACATGATTAAAAAAACCCATCCAAATATTGTATTTAGCATATTTCCAAACATCAATACATTTAAATCATATGTTTACTGTTCTGAAACAATCGATTTCACTATTGATAATAGTTTAAGACATGTTTTAGGATTTGATGAAGTGGAATTAGAACCGAATAAATTACACGAATCTCAAAAAACTGTTAATATTAGTATGATTAATTCAATAAAAGTATTATGTAGTATTGCTCAAGGATCATTTGATGGTAACAAACCCTCACACTCAGTCTATGAGTTTTACCCTACAGCAGTACACGGATCAAAAATTGTTGAAGCACCTAGCAACTTAATATATTATCCATTGATAACAAATGAAATAAATAATATAACGGTAAAGTTAGTTGATCAGGATCAAAGACCACTAAAGAATTTAGGTGAAAAAATTACAACAGTTTTTCATATTAGACGGTACGGTTCATAAAATGGGGTTGAAATTTTTTAATTTCCAAAACAAAATATTAGATATAAAGGAACCGTCACATAAAAAATCTTCCATTCCCAAAACGAAATCTAACCGAGCAACAAGAAGAAAAACAAAAATAAATCTTACGTCAAAAAATAAAAATATTTTAAGACAACTTGGATTTGAGTTAAAAAGTAATCGAAATGCCTGAAAATGATATTTTGGAAGTTGATATGGGTTATGTGTCAGATTCGAAAATAACTAATTTTGATTTTCACTCATATATTCCTTATACTAAAGCTTTTAATAATAATGATGAAATTAGGATATGTGTACAACAAACTGATGTATACCCATATTTACATGAAAGCTTTTTATACATCGAAGGCAACATTGAAGATAAAGATAAAGTAAAACTAGGTAATAATGGATTATCTTTTCTTTTTGAACAAGTTCGTTTAGGATTAAATGGTATCGAGATAGATAGTTCACGAATGTTAGGTATTACAAGTTCTATCAAAGGATATCTTTCAAGTACACCAGATAATTATTATTGTTATGAAAATGCTGGATGGACTTTCAAAAATAGTTCATCCATATCAGACACAAATGGTCATTTTACAGCATGTATACCACTAAAATACTGGTTAGGCTTTTTTGAGCATTATAGAAAAATTTTATTAAATTCACAAATAGAACTCATATTAACTAGATCAAATAGTGATTTAAATGCATTGATTAAAAAAAGTGATGATGCAACTACAGGTAGTGTGAATATTAAGAATATTGTTTGGAAAGTTCCTCATGTTAGTGTTGATGATAGCCAGCGTCTAAAGTTAATGAAAATAGTTGAAAAAGAAAAACATTTGTTTATACCATTTAGATCATTTGAAACATATACTTACCCTGAACTCGGAAACACGAAAAATGTACTATGGAATTTAAAAACATCAACGAAATTGGAAAAACCTCGTTATATCATTGTAGGCCTCCAAAAAAATCGTAACAATTCAATAACTGCAGACAAAAGCGAATTTGATCATTCTAAGTTGAAAAATATTAAAGTGTTTCTGAACTCAAATGTTTATCCTTATGATAATTTAAATTTAGATTTTACACACAACGATTTTACATTATTATATAATATGTATACATCGTTTCAAGAATCATATTATGAAAATGGACTTCGAAATCCGATACTAAGTCCAAAATTGTTTTTATCAAATGCTCCAATTATTGTTTTAGATGTTAGTAAACAAAACGATTCTGAAATTTCTTCTACAATTGACTTACGTTTAGAAATAGAAGCTGATGATAATTTAACTGGTGTTAGTGCTTATTGTATGTTAATACACGACCGCATAGTTGAGTATTCGCCATTTACCCGAGAAGTGCGTAAACTCGTATAATATAGTTTTTTTGTTTTGGTTTTAGTATATAAGAAGTCCTTGTCACTGTTAAGATCTCTATTTTTAAATTAATAATGGATTATTTTGGTCATCATATAAATCATTTCAATGATATCGGAGTTGGTAAATATTTAAATTCGAAATTAATTGATTTGGAAAATAGTATAAAAAATTCTATCTTAGAAACTCAGACTGGTTTAAAAGATAGTTTAGAAAAAAAACTAAATACACATAATGAATCAATAACTAATGTTTCAAAAAATACAATAGAAACAATAAAATCTGAATTAAATAACTCATTCAAAGAATGTATCACTAGTTTGGAAAATAAAATAAATATGACGTTAATGAATGATGAATTAGAAAAAAAATTAGAAAAAAGTTTAAATAAAAAAACGAATGATGCTATGATAAAATTAGTAAATGAAGCTAGGGTTAAATTAAATAAAGATTATTATGAATGAATGATTGTTTAAAACTTTAGATGCTTTTATTTTCTAAATTAACCGATAAAGCATACACGCCGATTAGAGGAAGTCAACATGCGGCTGGATACGATCTAAAAAGTGCATACCAATATATTGTAGTAGCACATGGAAAAGAATTGATTAAGACCGATCTACAAATTGTGGTACCACATGGTACATATGGACGAATTGCACCGAGATCAGGATTAGCATGGAAACATTTTATTGATGTTGGAGGTATGCTTATAAAATCTAATCACTAAATAAAATGTTATATATTTTTTTTTTTTAAATCCTAGCTGGAGTAATTGATCGAGATTACCGCGGAAACGTTGGTATTCTCCTATTCAATCATTCTGATGTAGACTTTATCGTTCAACGTGGAGATCGAGTAGCACAACTAATATGTGAAAAAATTGTGTATCCAGAACTCAGGGAACTTCGGTCATTAGATGAAACTGATAGAGGAGAAAAAGGATTCGGTTCTTCAGGATAATTTTCATGTGTGTTAGGTAGAATTTATGTAATTTAAAATTGATTTAGCTTTGAATAATAGAGACAAAAAAACCTTTATGTAAGTTTATTTTATACTATACAGATTGATAAATCATAAAATATTATAATTAATATGATTAATAAAAGGTATTATACTATATAAAGAGATGTTGTTATTCATTTCTAGTTTAATTTACTATAATTTGTAAAAATGGGCGGTAAAGCCCCAAATTACTACTACTTTCATAGATAACAAATATTATAACATACCAATAGTTGTAAAATTATATCACTAAGTATCAAAAACCTATGTACTAATACCCAAATAAGATGCTTTAAACAGTCAACGTTAATTTACCACATAAAATCACTTTACCTTAAAGTTAAGATAGAATCATTTTCTCCTTATAACGGTAAAAAATTAGACCATAAGTGTATTACTTAATTTAAATTATTTTATTAAGTCCTTTAAAAAACAGATATTCGGCAGGTCTTGTTGAGAGGCGACACCATTACAGTCACCACAGAGCGTACGATTTCGGACATACCGAAATAATCGTTTAACCAGTGTTAACTAACAAAATTATTCTTTTATTTATTATTAATTGTCTTAATTATCTTGTAACTACTAATTTTTACATTAAATAATATTATGTAAATCTAAGAAACTATCGTTTTGCATATTTTTTTAATTCTATCTTCATAATAACATATTAATAAGATTAGTTTACGATAATTCACCAACTCTCAATTTTCGTTTTAATGTAGGTATAGGTATAAAGTCTACATTACTACAATATAGCATGCCGTTATTATTTTTCAGTAAGAAAGATCACAGGGAACTTATCGAAAAAACAATAAGTACTGTAAAACAGTAACGAAGACCATTTATACAAATTTAATTATGAGATAAAACTTAAAAAAAAAAAAAATACATAATATTAACCTTAACAATATATTTTTTAACAATATTGATTACAACAATAATATTCATCTGAGTTACACAAAAATATAAAATACAACCAAAATCCCATAACAATTTAAAGTTAATATGAAAAACAAAAAAATAGATTTTTTTTATAAACTCAAGTTAAAAAATCAGTTAAACATTTACAAAAAACAAATATTAAAATAGTTTTCATTAGTGTAATTAAATTAAAAATCATATATACTCTGTTCTTATTTCGAACAGAGTATAGTATAAACTATAAAAATGGATTGAACACATTTTCATGTGTGATGCTTACAACAATACAGCATGTAAAAAAAAAATGAAAATGGTACATTGGTAAAAATATACTACATAATAGTAGTAGTAATTAAGCTTAACTGTATCGCTAAAGCTACTGAGGCTAAAAACTGTACTAACGCTACAAAGATTTGATTTTAGTACACTATAATTAATACAATTAATTTTTTTTTTTAATTGTGCTACAGTTTTGGTCACTAATTTAAAAAATATGTTACAGTTGTAATTTGAAAACAGTAATTAAAAAAAAAATAATTTATATTGTTATTCTAAGAATGACCAAAATTGAAAAGAGGAGGCTGCTAAAATAAAGATTGAGTAAGCTTAACAGTCTAATATCTAACCTAAGGAATACAAATTCTACAAATTTCGGTGGAATATTCGTACATTAATAATATATTACTTTAAAAAAATTTACTTTCAATACAATATAATGAGGTAAAAAAATATTTAAAAACATTTTTTTAGTTCATGCAATCGAATCAATGGTTAATTCAATAGAAATTTCGTGGTTCATAAAACAACATTAAGTGGCTCACGTTAAACATATTCAATTTTAATAAAAGATTAAATTTATAAGTATATTTTTTTTTGTAATCTAGCATTTTGTGTTTTAATTAATGTGCCATTATAACCTTTACAAACATAAAAATGTATAACATTGTGTCTTAGCTACTAATAAAGATAATTCGGAAAAAATTTTCTGTATAAATATCAATTTTAGAAATAAGGGTAATATCGAATTCAGATTTAATAACCACTTCTTATGCTAATACAGGAAAAATAATTATATTTTTTTTTATTAACAAAAAAATCTATTAAGAAAATCCTGTTATAGAATAACTATAATTATAGTATTAAGTTTTTTTAACTATAAAATAAATTTAGTGTTTTTATAATGTTTCCTAACTCAGTTTGGATTTTTTTTAAACATTATTAGACATATAATTTAAAAACAATTTTTGGCGCAATTAGTACTTAAATATAACAAAATAGAAATTGTAAAAAAATAATAACTCAAAAGGGTTTATTATTTTTTATCTTCACCTCTCACGCTAAATTTATAAATAAACTACTGAACCGATGCCAGTTGATAGGCTGATTTTATTTTAAAATAATAATTCAATAACGAACTATAATGATGACAATAATACACAAAAAAAATATATACATACAAACAGGGTTGTTTTTTAGTTACGCTAACTGACTGATTAACAAATGTAAAGGTTTGTTAATAGATAAATGTATGAAATAAATGTACTAAGTTCAAAACTAGAATTATTTCAGTTATCGGGTAATATACAAATATCAGCATGTATAAATTAGTTTTTATTTCAAATAATTTTAATTTTTTATAAAATTGAATATGTTTCATTTGAATAAATATTGCATTTTTTCTTTCAATGGGGCTTTTTAAAAACGCAAGAGTACGTAACTAAATGGATGAAAATAATGTGTAATCAAAATGTACGTTAAGATATTTTTGCTTTACCACTGTTCTTCTTCATCCGCTTGCACGTATTCAGAAGTGCCGCCGACATCCTGAAACAACACATTTATTATTATAGCCATATATATATTAACAAAATAAAAAACTTTCAAGTTCCATTTGTGTAGGTAGCAAGTATGAAATATATGAAAAATATACATTAATTAAATTTAAAAAAAAAATCTTTGATGGAATACTTAATTACCGTTCTTATATCGTCAAACTGATCAGGTTCGGCAGCATAGCCACCAAAGTCAGATAACCAATCTGGTATTTCCTGCCCAGCCTAGAAAACAAAAATCAAATAAAAAATGGCTGTGCACTACAACTATTTGCTTCTAGCGATAAGTTGAAAAAAGTCGTTTCACAAACTTACCTGTTCCAAAATTCTTCTCAATTCTGGAGCCAATGGTCGATCTTGATCCGGGTCAAAAAAGGAAATGGCCTTGCCAGCGTTTCCCAACCTCCCAGTACGACCAATACGGTGCACATACTCGTCAACATTTTTAGGTAAATCGTAATTAATTACAGTCGTCACACCCTTTATGTCTAAAATTTAAAAAAAAAGCATCATCAGATTCCCATCGAAAGTAAATTAGAAACCCCACACATACAGTTTGAACAGTTTTAAAACAAAAGTCTTTTATAAAAGATAACACAATACATATTAGCTGAGATAAACCAACAAAAAAAAACTGCTAATCAAGCACCCTTAATGCTGTACTAATAAATATACAACATAGATTTAGCTTTAAGTTTAAGAAAAATTAAAAACATAATAGAACTTCATGTGGCATTCTCTTAAATAATTATATTACAATAAAAATATATTTAGTCTTAAATTTTCGCAAAAAAAAGTATAAGTATACATACCAAGTCCTCGAGCGGCAACAGATGTTGCGACCAAGATCTTCATTTTTTTAGTTTTGAAATCCCTCAGAGCTAGTTCTCGTTCGGGCTGTTCACGATCACCGTGAATACTAGTAGTAGGATAATTTTGATCACTCAGATATGCAGCGATGAAATCTGCATTTCTTTTCTGTTCCACAAAAACAATTGTACCTTGGACATCGCCTAAAAAAATATATATAGTATTAGTGGTGATGGAGCATATTAGTTTGGAAGACCACAAGTTTTCAGTAATTATTATAGCTTTGATGGTACTATAATAATATTATTATAGTAAAAATTATTAAAAAAATCGACCATAAGTTTTAAATTTTGTTATTAAAAAAGTAATAAAGTACCTATGTATATTTATACATTTTTTGAGTTCAGATTAACCTACAGACAATTTTGACTGGGCAAAATATTATATTTTAACTCAAATTTTACTCACCTATTTCTTCAAGAACTTTCAACAATTCACCTTTTTTGCTAAACTTCTGCACTTGAATTAATTGTTGCGTTACATCTTTACAAGCTCCTCCAATCTCACCAACCGCAACAAACACGTAATCCTGTTTTAGATACGTGCATGCCATTTGCTGTATCTCACTAGGTAGCGTAGCCGAAAACATAAGCGTTTGTCTTTCCGCCTGAAAACATTTAATTAGTTATAGAAAGTATGTAAATATATCTGATAATAATGTAATAATCCTGAGATTAATTTCCTCCATTACTTTTTCATGTAAAAGTAATGAACTAACCATACGAGATTTTAATATAAATTGAAATATAAATGTCAGTATTTTATTATTATATTTATGTTAACGCCACAATATAATTACTGAAGAAACCATTGTAGAATGATGCAATACACTTTCGATAGCTGATTTAAATCCTAAATCTAACATTCGATCAGCTTCATCTAGTACAAAAAATCGTACTGACGAAAAAGTTATGACACCACGATTGACAAAATCGTTCAGACGTCCTGGTGTGGCCACGAGAATATGAGCACCTCTCTGTTAAAAAAAAATTCAATCAATTAATGGTATTTTGCTGAGTTCATACCATTTGCTTACCTTTATTCTGTCTATTTGATACATAGTTTTTGTTCCTCCATAGGCGAGTTCACTTTTAATCATAGTTCCTCTGCTCAATTTTCTGACCACCTCACAAATCTGTATAGTAAGCTCTCTGGTAGGCGACATTATAACAGCTTGTGGTTCACAATGATTGTAGTCGGCAATCAACTCTGTTGGATTACTCATCAAGTCATTTAAAATTGGTAAAACAAAAGCTGCCTATAAGCAAAAAAAAAGATACATAACACTAGAAAACTATAATAAGAAAAATTTATTATTACCGTTTTGCCAGAACCAGTTTGAGCACTTGCCATCATGTCTCTTCCGTGAAGAATGATAGGTAAGGAATATTTTTGAACTGGCGTTGGTACAGAATAATTTAATTTTTCTAAGTTTTCCAACAATATTTCTCGCAAGCCAGCATTTTTAAATGAATTTATATTTGTGGGTACATCTATTCCACTCACTTTTACTTCAATTGATTCATATTGATCGAAATTATTACCAGCGACCATAACCACGGCAGAATCATCGCTGTCGTCTATTTCTGGAGGAATATATGTCGGCTTCGGTAATGCAGGCTTTTCTGACTCTTCGCTGTTATTTCCATATCCACTACTTGAATAATGATCATTGTTCTGTTCAAATTTTCTACCTGTACCTCGACCACGACCTCTGCCACGTCCACCACGGCCTCTTCCTCTAAACCCTGTACCTTCGTTTTCATCTCCATAGCTCTGAGTGTTGTAACCATTGGATGAGTCAGTATTGTATCCTCTGTTACTGCCACTATTTCTACCTTGGTAACCTCCATAGTTTTGTTGGTAATTTTGCTCTACACCATAACCATTATCTGTGGTGCCTTGATCGTAGTTGGTAGAGGTTAATGTATTTCCCCAAGAATCATGCGTAGGTTGCTCTACATTACAATAATTGTCATTACTTCCATACCCATTTTCTTCATATGAAACACCATTGTCGTAATTTTGGTTGTCATATGGATCTTCTCCGGTCTCTTTATATCTATTCTCAGAATCTGCTTGGGGTACAGAATTTACCCCTGGTATGTTGTCCCAATTCTCTTCTTCCATATTTATGACTGCAACATATGAAATGGTTATTTATTTATTCAATAATAATACTTGGCTAATTAATTAACAAAACAATAATAATTTAATTATACAATAACTTAATCCGATATACAAATAATAAAGAAAACTACATCTTAAGAGGCACCAGCCAAAATAGTGAATGTGATAATAGCAAAAATGTATTTCAATATAAATAAATACTGTCATGTATGCACATATACAAATACTATTGTGGTTTAACCCTTCCGGTTTGTCTTCAAATCCTATTACCCTCAAAATAATTAAGTATTTTCATTTTTTTTTTCTTTCATATATTTAATAATTTAACAATTATCTGCTAGAAAAAATTACTGGTTAATTGTTACAGTTTTAAGCAATTACTTTTGAGGATTAACAATAGTTTATTTTAAAATCTAAACAATTCAATTAAAAATGTTATTTAATATGATAAACATTGCTGGAAATCACCTTACTCCTTAAAGTCTCTTACTTATAATATACTGTAGAAAATTAGGAATACAATTTGTAATTCATTAGAATAGTTTGCTAATAATTGTGACTTAAGGCTCCCGAGTACGATTTACTCACTGGACTGTACCATAATATGCTACTAACATCACTAAAACAAAAATGTGTATATAAATAATATTATATAATAATTAGTTCAAAGAATAAACAAATTCTATTCTCAATAATAAAACTAGAAATATATCAAACTTTTTTTTATTAATATTAACTTTTACATGGTCAGTTTTCATAACTGTTTCAAACAGTCAAAAGAGTAATTATTGAAAATATATTCCTACAACTTATTATTATTACCTACAAATATATAAATCTTTATTTTTTTTATTATTTTACTTTTAATAAATTAACAGGTTCTGTAATGGTAAATGTATAATATAATATACTAAACATTTTTATTTATATGTTTTTATATAAATAAATATACTTGTGTATGTGACTGTGTGTGTGGGAATTCCTAATTACATGTATTTTAAAAAAGAAATCTGGAAAGTAGTTTATGGTTATAATGAGAAAATTCAATGATTTGAACACACGAAGATAGATAATATAAAAAATATTTTGTAATATACATTATGTGAATATTTTACTTATTACCAATTTTATGATACATTTAACTTATATATTGACTTATCTATTATTTTTAAAAGGCCATATACAGCTATTAAGCAATTTTACTATATTTAAAAACTACCTATTTAAGCATTATAAGTCTGTACCTAGGGACTAAAAGGACCAATGTCAATTTTTGGCATAAACTAGTTAATCCACTAGACATGAAAATTAAAACATACTTTATAAACTGTAAAAAAAATGACACTTTTAAAGCAAAAATTGAAAAACTTATGAAGAAATTTGTAAAATAATTAACACAGAGCCTCATGGAAAATAAAACTTAAAACCTCATTTGCCAAGTTACAAAATTTGAGATAGGTTCTTTTATACCCAAGGTACTGAAGTAGTCTCTTAATCAAGAAATACCGAGTTGCTATTCAAACATTAAATTCAAATAAAGTGTTAAACTCCCATTTACAATTTTTTTAACTCCCAGAATCAATAAAAAATAAATAAATCAGAAAAGCAAAAAAAACTCAATAAACAATATACTATCTTATTTTGTAAAATATCAAATATGTTTCATTGAAAAGAAGTTATAATGAACTCTCTATAGAACTCCAAACACAAAAATAAAATAATTTAGGTACTCAAGAGAGTAGAGCGCTATTTACTACTTAGGTATATTATGTGCCAAAGATACAAATAAATAAATATTTCTTTATAAAACAAGTAGTTTCCACCAAATCACATTTGCCGTGTAAATTGCCAACTAATAAAGTATAACCATTATGGCAAAGCACGATAAGCCCATTGTAGTTTCCTTTCTAAACGCTACAGTTTCAGAAATGTGTTTTTTCGGCGAAAATCGTTTTCTAAACAAAGTGTTTTGGATGTGTGCAATACCTATTGTTTGTTTATATAGGTACCTAACGAGTAAAAATTAAATTAAAAAAATAATGCTATTCAACAGTTGGGTATATAAAACAGATTTAACAGAGCAGAACGCCTAATGGATGCTTCGAAGCGTAGACTATTGAGGAATGAGGCAACAAGGAAATGAAATTTTAATAGTATCACGGTTAATGTGCACTTACCGGCCGGTCGATGATATTGATTGAGAAACGGTTAACAATTCTTGGTTGCAAAATTCGGTTTCGACTGCGCACAACAATAATAATATTACTCGGATGTAACTCCGGTTGAAAACGTGAAGTGAGATTGATATTAATCAGCGTTTATTTGTGCTCCACACGGAATACACTACTGTTTTATAATAATTTTTTTGGTTAGGTATTTTAAATTATCAAAGAACGCGCTATAGTAAATTATATTTTATCATACAAACACACGGTTATTATATCAGCCGCAGACGCCAGACGGCAGACGCACTATAGCGACGAACGTTTGAGGTTTGCCCAATGGTGCTGTGCTTCTATCATGTATACATACATTTCGTGCGATACGCATAAAAACCTGATAATGTTATATGATACTACGCTAGCACACGTGTGTGTGTGGTGTGATAGTGCGATGAAAAAATACCTGAAGGCCGTTATTACAAAACAATATTATGTATATATATAAATGTATATCTTTTATAAAAAAATTAATTTTGGAAACTCCCACCGGTGTTTGGAGGGGAGACCGCTGCACCGGCGGCAGCGGATTAAACATAATAGCATGCTGCAGTGGTGGAATTTGGAAAAAAAACTGTATGTTTTATTGTGTCCATGTGTTCACCAAAAATTATTTTGGATGTTACCATCGGACATCGTCGTACATAGCTATAATACTAACGTACCACATTGGATTCGGTTCGTTAGGAGCGACTCGTGAGTCGTACCCACAGATATATACTACAGTTGTAGACTGTATTATAGTGTATATATCTGTGATTGTAACTGAGTATTGACCTCTTGGCAGATGACCCTAATCGCGATAACGGCAGCCGCTAGCGAGGAATTTAGAGATGGGATTTTCGTTAATTTTACCATTGATTAAAATATAGTAAAATTATAATTAATCAATAATTTTACTGAGCTAGTTTACTCGTTCTTTGTCTACATAAGCTAGTACAGTAAATGATGTTAAATAAATAGTTCCAACAATTTGAAATTTACAAATAATATATGAATTACAATATTTACAAATATATTTAATTTTTTTTTAAATTGTAAACAAAAACCTACCAGTTGACCTTGAAAACCAAACGTTGATCAGCTTGTTAAAAAATAATATATATACAATATAAATATTTTAAAATATCATATTCACGATCATAACATAATTTGATCTGTCAGATAAGCCAAATCAAAAAAGTAATTATTAATTAATTCATCAGATTACCTTATAGTTATTTTGAAAAATGGCTCGTTATATTAATATTATTTTATAGTGAAAACAAAGTCGGTAATATCTTTTTTTTGGATATCGGAAAAATTGATTTTAAATTTAGTAACTTTCTCATGCCCAGACCCCAGTCTTTAAAAGTTTAAGATATTAGTATGGTACATTTTGATGTTACAATTTATAGTAATATAAAATACACTACCGATGTAGTCATGCATTTCGAGTTTGGTGTCTAGTAAAACAATCTAACTTTTCTATTTATTTAAATAAAAACAACATAAATTAAAAGTAATATGTACATCTGTGTAAGTACTAGTTTTAATATGAGAAATTCATATTAAAAAAATAATATGAATGTAAAAGTTAAAACTACAGCTGTAATACTTGCAACGACAGGTGAAACAAATTGACAACAGATAACCTGACACCTGCTTTTAGCTGTAACTAAAAACACATGAAAATATATTCGTACATATTTATATGTAATATAAGAAAATTAAGTAGGGAATAAAAAAACCAGTTTTATAGTCCCTATTAGAAACTAAAAAACTGCCTGTTTTACTCTACTCTTCCTAATAAAATATTTAATGTTTTTCTATACTGTCTATACAAATAAGAGTTAATAGTTATTTAACTTGATTATACTTGATTAAAGTTAATGAAATAAGTATCAACAACAAGTAACCTATTTAAAAAATTTAATATATATGGTTGACATGCTGACATTTCTCTAGATCAGTCAGTAGACTTGACATTTTCACTATATACTATAAAACGTCCATTTATCGTTAAAATTTAAAAAAAATTATTTTTTTCTAAAACTATTTTATTTAAATTTCTTCTCACTGCATTATAGGAATTCGGACATATTTTTGTTCTGACCAAGTGTTTGTTCTCATATCTTGTTCTAAAAAATTATTTTTCCACAATTTTAAAATTTTTAATTTTAAAATTGTTCAGTACCTTTGATAAAAAAAGTAAATTATAAAAAAATGGTTAGAAATAATTACAAAAAGCAAATAAAAAAGGCGAGACATTTTTTCCAAGGAAGAGATTCTCAGAGATTTAAGTCTGTTTTCAAAATATTTATCACATCAGTATATTGAACGAATGGAGTAACAAACGTACGTCTAAACATTTATATTGCGTACAAAATAGATAGAGACATGAAATACCATTATTCACTCCCCTTTAGTCTTTTGGTAAATGACACTGATTTATTTAAAATTTCTCCTTTTGTTGTCTTTATTAGTATCGAGTTGGTTTTTCATTAGATTTATTGGACGTTTAAACAGCCTTGATCGTCCTCCAAACCTTAGTTGACCAGATTGCTTTTTGCCTCCAAAACCACCACCTGCAAAATATTTATTATCTTAAGCACTCTCCACGCCTAAGTAACCTTTTTGGAAATATTGCGTCTGTTGGCATTTAGATTATTTTTCTCTTAACGGAAACAAACAAAAATGTTGGCTTTTGTGGACAGTACTTTAAACAAATATTTATAACTAAATACCTACCAAGCCGCCGTGGTTTCCATCCGGGCAATAAACGACCACATTCAAAGTCTACTAGTATTTCACTATTATTTAGTACTAATGAGTTACATTTTTTATAAGCATTAAGAGCCATTTCAGGTGTTTTATACTCAATGAAAGCATAACGCTTACTCATTCCTGTGACAATGTCTTTTACCAAACGTAATGCTACCATTCGACCATATCGACAAAATTCCTAAAATACATGTACATTATTTTAATTATTTTGATCAATATAACTAAAACCATTTTTAGTTCAATATTTTTTAATTACATTCTCTATATCTTTTTCAGTTGTATCCAAACTTAACCGGGTGACAAATATTGTACATAAAGGATCACCCTTTACTTTGTAATTGGCTTTAAATTTAGAGTGCACAGCTCTCACTACACCTAAATCGTGTGGTTCTTTGTCAGTACTGTCTATACTCCCAGCTTTAATTGGATCGTAAACAACTGTGTGTGGGTACCAACATTTTACTTCTAGAATATTTGGTTGATTTTCTGGTAAATTGACTGCCATGGTCAGGGAAATCTAAAAAAGTAAAGGTTAATGATTATATTAATAAAATATACATTAAAATAAGTAACCACATTATGATACTTACCAAGTAGGTTTAAGTAATTAAATAATTCATAAATTATAATATCAAATTTGTACGTTGTTAATATTTAATTGAAGACTAATTTGAACAACTTTAACATATTGTAATCTAGTCTGTGCTTTTAATACAATATCCCAGAAAATAAATTTTTTTACACCATACTATTTAAATTTATAAAAATGAACATTTTATTATTAATCACGTACAATCATTGTCTTTAAACATACAAGAAAAATCAAACATTAACTGTGTGGGAATAAAATTACATTGGTATTTGGTAAGGTGTATTTATTCAAATTTTTTTTAAAAATTAAGTTACAGTTGATATCTAATTGATGTTATCAAAAAATGATAAGAATATTGTTAACCATTGGTGACCATAACCGTGTTTGTATTCAGTATTATTGTTATTAACATCCATAGACCTAAAAAGAAAGTCTGGTTTGTTCGTTTTGACAAAAAGACAAAAGTGTACTCGTTTTCACAACAAGCATAGATTAAATACATGTATTTAATCTATGCAACAAGTGTACACCAAAGCGTTCGTTTTGATATAGTGTTGTATCAGTATACACTTTTTTCACATCGACCGTAGGGCGTAGAGTAGGCATGAAAAAGTGTAAACTACACTGACTAGTGTACACTTTTTTTCAAAATGAACAAACCTTTTCTAGGCCTATGGGATATTATGTTAACATCACAGAATAGATAAAAGCAGAAGGGTCACTTTCAATGTAAAAAAGTGACGACCATTTTGTAAAGACCTATTTAGTATTTTGTGTTACATCTATACACAATTAAAAATAATAATGTATAAATCTTATATAGATACATATAAGTTATAACATAATAGTGGTGTAGCTTAAAAAGATGGCCACCGTGTTTTTGTGATCTAATATATTTGGACATAATCGGTAGGTAATCTTTTTGGATTGTCGGTAAATGCGACACAATCAAAGAGATGCTAATTATTGTATGCTACATATTCGGCGAATAGACAAGGCTCGTGAACCCGGCTTAAGTTAATAATATAGACAAGAGAAGATTAGTGAAATGGTACAAATTTACTAATAATATAAGTATACATACTTGGCAATTATTTAAGTATCCCAGCCAAATTTTGTTATACTAGTTTTAGCCGTTATTTAATTAAAATGTAAGATTATATTGTATTAAGTCCAACCAGTCTTATTTGCTTTAAGGTTGCCTTATGCCTCATCAGTTACATAATGCAATACCTTGTGAAACAGTCCCATATGATATACTAACAACCTCTAACTAAACTTAGAATAGCTGAAGTCTGGGCTCTATCAAGTGTGTGGTATGGGTATCTGACTAATGACTACCTAGAGCTAAAGAAAATTGCCTATACCATTGATTATGTAATAGATTACATAATCAATGCCTATACTTTACTCCTTAAAAAATTCATGGTGTGGCGCCCTTTTAATTTTTAATATGTACTATTAAATCCTAATACCCTTTATACCTATTACATTGGTATTAGGTACCTATTTAAAACATTGACCTATCTTATTGAAATAATGTTTTTATTTTATTAAAATTTGTTTTTAATTGAAAATTCAGAACTATTCAACTATTTAAAAGAAATAGTTTAGTCAATAATCGCGACTAGCAGAAAGCATAAGAAAGTGATACTTGAACGCAAATAAATCGTAAAATATTATGCTCTTAGAAGTTATAACATCCACTTAATCATTTTATTATTTCTAGACTTTTTATGATAGAGGATATGGGTTTAAATAAATAATTGATACTTGGTACCAAATTTATTAACTGGCCTCTTTTTATTTTATTTACATATTAGAATTGTAAATCTGGCTAACACGAAATTAACAGATGATTAAAAAAACAATCACACTTACACTCCATTTTAATCAATATACTTAAATATTACCATGACTATATATTTATTTAAA